AAATTGTATAAAAATCATAGCTTTTTTAATTGAAATTATTTTCTCTTGCATTATGTGATGTATTTGGCTAGATTGAGCGGAGCGGAGGTAAATTTGTAAAGGAAAAAGCTAAGTTGAGTATTGAGTTAGCCGAATTGAGTTAAGTGTCTTGCCTAATTTTGTTGAGGGAATTTTTCCTACTATTTGACCTTGTTTGCTACATGCGGGGGTGATTCATATATGAGGTGACGAGCATATATGCATGTGCCAGGGTTAACTATACTCAGGGGTAAATTATGTTATAAATTATATTTTGTAGAATCACATGACTTTCTTGCTTCATGCCTTACTTGACTCCTAGATACCAGGAACATAGTATTAAATGTTAAAAACTAAGACTTAGCTTATTATAACTTGATCAAAATTGATGGAAATTATGAGAATACATGGATGTGTCTAATTCGGCCAACACTATGTGTAATCATTAATACATTGCTACGACCGATATTCTTGAGATACTAGATTCTATACTCGTGTTGTAGATCATTCATGAGATTTGTTGAAATACTTGAATAATAAGGTCCTTGCGGGTTTATTGAACTATTGTTGGCTTGGAAAGTTGTGATTGAGATTCATTTGGAATATTCGTTTCAACACTCTCCTTGACGTTATTTATGCTTCCTACCTTGTTTGTCATTAATATACATATGCTTGGTAAGGAAGAGTGTAAAGCACAACGTGTGATGCCATGCCATTGTATATGATTATCATGTGAGGGAGAGTGTAAAGTACGAAGGGTGATGCTGTGCCATATTATTGAGAGTAAAGCACGAAGGGTGATGCCGTGCCATATTATTTGAGAGTAAAAAGCACGAAGGATGATGTTGTGCCATATTATTGAGAGTAAAAGCACGAAGGGTAACGCCGTGCCATATCATTTGTGAGTAAAAGCATGAAGGGTGATGTCGTGCCATGTTATGTGAGTGTAAAGCACGAAGGGTGATATGGTGTCATTTCATTTATATTATCATGCTTTAAATTATCATGACTTCATGGCATGATGGGTGTTTCCGTGCAGGCGAGAATGAGGGACATGCATTATATTGTGATATCTTTTCCTTGTGTATACGTTTATGCTTTTAGATTGAGCTATTAATATTGTATTTATGGTTCTTATGTGACTTGTCGTTAATGCCCTGTCCTTGTTCTCTATCTTATTTGTTATTGTGTCACTCATGTCTTCTACTTGCTAAACTTGCAAATATCATGCCTACTTTCTGCTGTCATAATTACATCTTTGTCCTATCTACTTTGTTGTACTTTAATATAGGCCTTCTACCATATTAGTTCGTTCATGCTTCTACTTATTAACTTATAAAGCTCATGTGTTCCCCTTTTATTTGTCACATCTATATTTATGCCTCCATCATGCTCGTTAGTTGAAGTTATACTCTTTTTCCTAATTGTTGCTCCTATGCTTTCCGCCTAGTTTGTTACTATTGCCCTTATGTATATCCTCGTTCATCATTATTACTTGTGTATTTCCTACTTTGTCATTATTGTTATCGGCATTTCTGTCATCCGGTTGGTATTGTTTTACGCATATTTGGTGAGGATGACATAAATGCATGAAGGATGTGGTCGTGCAATTGACTTGATATCAGAGTATATTTCTCACACTATGAAAGTTATGGGGTGACTATTGTGGTTTATTGGTTATCTCACTAAAGAGAAGATTGGTCAAGATATTTGAAACTGTTGGATTGTGATCTCTTCTAGTACTCCATTATTACTTTGTACATTCGTTTCGTGTACTCTATCTTGTTATATTGTAGTATAGTTCTATTTCTAGTTTACGATAAAGATTTTATCAGTGAGCATCTTCTAACTAAAGAGCCTCGTCACTACTTCTGCGAGGTTAGACAAGGTACTTACTGGGTACATGGGGTCGATTGTACTCATACTACACTTCTGCACCTTGTATGCAGATTTTTGAAGCGGAGCTGCTGGTGATGTCGGCAGCTGACTCTGAAGATGTTCGTGCATCCCGAATATAGCTGCCACTTGTCCTTGGTAGTTTTAGATGTTTCTAATTTGTTTATGTAATTTTCAAACAGTTCGTGTATTTATTTGTATCAGTTTTATAAATTTCAAATCTTAGAAGCTCGTGATTCGTACTACCAGTTCTTGGGTTAATTTGTAAATGTTCAGATAATTCCTCACTATTTTTCTATAATCTCATATAGATTGTTTTGAATGTTAGTTTGTTACCTAGCTGATCGAGTTTGGTGCCATCACGACTGATGGTTTTTGGGTCGTGACAAGTAACGAAGATTATGTGAAGAAAATAGATCAGGCTAGGAAAATTTGGGCCAAAGTGGAGAATTATTACGATTTGCCCTGATTTTCGTACCATATTTGGATTTTACCGTTACTTGAACGAAAGTAAAATATGTACCATAATTACTTTTACTTTTTCTAACAGAAAAATATATACCACTTCCATATTTGACTAATCTATTTTTTTTGGAGGAAATGTTTTTTTAATTCTACAAATTGAAGATCTTTCCTTCATGCAATCATAACAGTATTCACAATGTAATCATTAAAATAGCCTTATTTAGGGAAGATTATTGTCTCAATAATTTTTTTATAGTATTTTCTCATATGTAGGTCAATTTTTCAAATTATATTAAAGTTTATTATGGATCTTTGAGTATAATTCTCTTTGTCATCTAATTTACCATCGTTCAAAATTATTTTGTTAGCTTTTGCATGATACCTTATTATTTTAACCCCAATATCCAGTTCGTGATATTATCTTACCTATTATCTAATTAGTGATATTTAAGGTTGCATATTGAAGTTATTAAACACTACTGTGATTGAACCTTTCTCAAATTTGATGGTACTATATATGCTCTCACCTACATGTCTCAAATCTATCCAACAAGTGGTATGATATGGATGGTAACTGGTTTTAAATTTAAAATCATTTCACTTTCAAAGTGGTTTTCTAGCCATAGTTACTTTATAAGGTACATGTATGAACTTGAGTAATTTTATTGGGACAAAAATTTTTTTACTAAATAATGTCATCAAGTCAAGTGACCATTAGAGGAATGCAAAACATTAAGAAGAAAAGGGGAAAGCTGACACGTTAGAGAGGTGACTATAAAGCTTAGGTAAATTAAATTAGCCACCTGGCTATTAAGGGTAATAAAATAAGAATAATTTTATTTTGATTTTATAGCTAATATGAACTGCTAATCTAATTAATTGTTTTAAGGCTCGCATTGCTTCATGGGCCTGGCTTTCATTGGAATTTGAAGTTTCTCCAATATTTAGCTTTCATCCTAAGCGAGCAATAACGTTGCATAATACTAGTTAGTTATTGGAGGTTTTAACTGGAGTTGCTTCTTGTCTGTGCAAAGAAGAAATAGAGAAGAAGAGAAAAATTCTCTGCTTCCTTTTTAAGTAGTGGCCTTTTGTTAAATACAATGGGAACGACATTATCTTTTAAATAGCAACTACAAAAGTGGTTTTCTCCCCAAATTTTTTCCCTCCGATCCTAGGGAACTTTTTAATTATAAAAAGAACTCCGTCTGTAAATTTTTGTTCTTTAAAATTTGACAATATTAGTAGGGAGAAATATTGCATCTCAAGACCAGTTTTTGGCTTCTCTTTAGAGTTTGGGCCTTGGGGGGTGGTTGGATATAGTTAATTGATGAAGCATTCAACAAAGTACATAGTTGGAGTGTCTTTGTTTTAGAAAAGGACATCCCCACTGTCCCTACCAAACCAATAAACTATTACGTACTTTCCTTTCCTTAATGTGAAAGTTCTCTGACTTTAATTTCTTCCTTCTTATTTCATATTCAACACATGGACATTCATATCTTACATGGTAGTACTTGATATAAAGAGTATCACTCATCATCACCAACTTCATGCGTATACTTGAAAGTTACTCCTGTACATTTATATCCAACCAACCCAAAAGAATTCCACTCTAACTAAAGAGTAAAAGGTGTGATAAAAAAATTAACGAAGTGAGTGAAAATTATATTTGAATTTCAGTAGAGACAAAAAGATATTAGAAGATTTCTTCTTATTTATCTAAGCTGTGTTAGATCATAGCATTATATAACATGTGTGTCGATAGAAGTTAGCAAGTATCAAATAGGATAATTGTTGTGTATGCATACTAGCCCGAATAATAACCAACAACAACAAATAAAACTACAGCTAGGTCCCAAGCAAAGCGGGTACGTCGACTATATGAATTCTCAATAGTAGTGTTGGTCCATTTAAGCTCATCCCATTCTATTACTATTATATAAAAGATTATTGTAAATTATATCGAACCTGAACTTGAAGTACTACTAAGTAAGTAATATATAATCATAACTAATATAGTTGGCATGGCTAACATAGATATTGGCCTAGGCATCATAGTTATTTAAAGAGGACAAGAAACAAAAGAGAAACAATTATTGAGAAAGCAAACCTAGTATAGTTATTGTAAGAATAACTTTAACAATTACTTAGAATGATAACCCGATTATTTTTCTTGGAATGGGAAAGTCTAAAATTTACTGATTGCAGCTGACAGTTAAGCAGGCTTCATGTTGCTATGTCATTTGTCAAGTGTCATCTTCTATAGACCGTTGAAATGTTAAACTCAAGTTTCAATGAAAACTCACCAAATCCTTGCTTCAAGATTCAGAAA